TCCCCCTTCCTGATAATATATCTGGAGCATCCTGGCTTCTGAGGAGCATTCTGGCTGTACTTCTAAATTGGCTGCAAAAGACTTCTTAAGCAAAAATTTAATTGTGTGTGATATTAATGATATTAATCAAACAATAATTTGATAGTTTCCTAATTCTGTTGGATCACTTTTCTTTGGAATGGGCACAAATATGGATCTCTTCCAATTAGTTGACCAGGTAGCTGTTTACCAAACTTCTTGGCATAGTTGAGTGAGCATCTCCACAGCTGCATCTGTTTCTTGAAACATTTCAATTGATATTCTGTCAGTTCCTGGATCCTTGTTTCTTGCCAATGCCTTCAGTGTACCATGGACTTCCTTTAATACCCCTGATTCCTTTTTTTTTTTTTTTTATGTTTTTATTGTGAATTGAGTGATAGCTTACATGGGAGAGTATTGGTTTTACACTCATTCTATGGTATTTTGTTTCATTGTAATGATTACAATCCCCTCCATGCATGATCATTCAACAGTATTTGCTTCTATTCCCTCTGGTTGTTTTTTGTTGTTGTTGTTTTGGATGTACACAAAAACACTCAGGAATATATAATCATTTAAACAACCAAAGGGTACATTCTGCAAGCCTGCCTCCTGGTTGCCACCACACAGCCTTTCTCTTTCCATGAGTCTAGAGTTCTCAGCTGCTCTATTTCTCCATGTCCTCATCTCTGCTTTCATCTCTGGTGTCACTGCTTCTCTCGATAGGGTCCCATCTTCCACTCATGCTCTTCTTCCTTGATGGTCCTAGGGTCCTCTGTTTCTGGAATGTAAGATTAACTACTACCCCCACCTTTATGTTAAAAACTTCTACCTTTACAGTTGTGAAACATCACAATCAGTCATGATAACAATTACTCACTATTGAATCATAAGAATCTTATCCCCATCTCCTTTCATCAGACCCATCTAGACAAGATGAAAAATATTCAGTGAGAATTCTACCTTCCCCCACACACTCTGAAACTAAACTCCCTCATGAAAATTTGTAAGCCTTTATAGCCTTCATGCGTTTATAGCCCCCGCTCATTTTAGGTAGCCAATGTCTAAGTTGCCCTATCAACCCTGTGTACAGAGGGGATAGGGTTGATCCTTGATGTGAAGACTCCTTCCCTCTCAGTATTTTGAGTTACTACATCTATAAGTATAAATTAAGTTCATCAAATTGTAGCAATTTACACTTGTTTCCTTTATCAAAAAAATTTTTAAATCTTCTAGTTGAGTTCTGATCATAAAGCCATCGAACTAGGTCAAATGAGTACTAGCTGCAAGTTTGGGCATTCTTGTATGTCTTTCCTCACTTCATATCAGCTGGACACTTCAATCTCAGCTCTAGCCCTCTGTGGCTATGTCCTTGTCCATGGGCTCAGGGGTCCCCAGGTCGCACCATACTTCAGACCAAACAGCCCTTCCTCTTCTCTCTTTCATCTCCAGATTGACAGGAGTCTAATATACCATTGATTTTTGATTGTATACTACTTCCTGAAATACTTGAATGTCGACCAATTCTTTTTGGTACAGTGACTCTGTGTATTCCTTCCATCATTTTTTTGTTTGTTTGTTTGATGCTGATGTTCTTCTGTCATTCAATATTTTGTCCATAGAATCCTTCAGTATTTTAATTTGAGACTTGATTTTTTTCTTCAGTTCTTTCAGTTTGAGAAATGATGAGCATGTCCTTTCCTTTTGGTTTTCTAACTCCAGGTCTTTGCACATTTCATTATAATACTTTGTCTTCGCTAGCTGTCCTTTGAAATCTTTTGTTCAGTTCTTTTTACCTCATCATTTCTTTCATTTGGTTTACGTACTCTATTATTAAAGGACAATTTTCAGAGTCTCTTCTGAAATTCATTTTGATCTTTGTTTTATGTCTTTTTAATCCAATTTTGCTTTCTTTATGAAGGATGTCCCTGATAACATTCCACAACTTGTTTAGTTTTCAATCATTAGTATTCTGTGCTTACATAAATTCTTGAGATGATTTCTAAATTCAAGTGGGATATATTCAACATTGTACTTTGACTCTGGTGGACTTGTTTTAGTTTTCTTCAGCTTCAACATGAACCTGCATATGAGCAATTATAATCTGTCTTGCAGTCAGCCCCTGACCATGTTCTGACTGATGATATTAAGTTTCTCCATCATCTCTTTCCACAAATATAGTAGATTTCATTTCTATGTATTCCATTTGGTGAGGTCCAAGTGAACAGTAACCATTTATGTTGATGAAAAAGGTATTTGCAAAGACTAAGCCATTGGTCTGGCAAAATCCTATCACATGATTTTCAGTGTCATTGCTATCACCAAGGCCATATTTTTTCAGACTGCTTCTTTTTGGTTTCCAAAGTTTACATCCAATCATCATTAATTATCAATGCATCTTGATTACATGTTTGATCAATTTCAGACTGTACAAATTGGTAAAAAAAATCTATTTGTTCATCTTTGGTATTAGTTGTTGGTGAATAAATTTGAATAATATTCTTATTAACTGGTTTTCCTTGTAGGCATATGGATATTATCTATTCACTGACACTGTACTTCAGGATAGATTTTGAAGTGATCTTTTTGATAATGAATATAACACCATTCTTCTTTAATTTGTCTTCCTTGGCATAGTATACTATATGTTTGTTTGATTAAAAATGGCCAATACCAGTCCATTTCAGTTCACAAATGCCTAGGATATGGATTTTTATATGTTCCAATTTCTTTTTGATGGCTTCCAATTTTCCTAGATTTATACTTCATACATTCCACATTCTGATTACTACTGGATGTTTGTAGCTATTTCTTCTCATTTTGAGTCTCATCATATCAGCAAATGAAAGTCTTGAATGGTTTACTCCATTAAGGTCTATTTTGAGGAAGCAGCCCACCCCTAGGCATATTCTCAGTGCCTTTCAACCTGACACAATAACAGACAATGTTCCATTGCTAGTCATAATGTTTTCACTGGCCAATTTTTTAAGAATTAGATTGCCAGGTCCTTCTTCCTAGTCTATCTTAGTCTGGAAGGCCTGCTGAAACCTGTCCACATTTGTGACTCTGCTATATTTGAAATACTGGTGGCATAACTTCCAGGATCACAGCAACATGCAAGCTACCACAGCACAACAAACTGACACATGAGTGGTGAGCTAACTGCATATGACTATTTAAACTGAAATTAATTAAGTTAGATTAAACATTCAGCTCTGCAGTTGCACTAAGCATATTTCAAGTGCTCCACAGCCATACATAGCTTTGTTGTTAAGTGCTATTGAGTTAGTTCTGACTCATAGGGACCCTATACAGGGTTTCTGAGGAGCAGTTGGTGGATTTGAACCAATTACCTTGTGGTTTTCGGTCTAGTACTTATCCTACAGTGCCACACCAGGACCACACATGTGGCTAGTGGCTACCATATTTGACAGCACAGATACAGAATATTTCCACCACCACAGAAATTCTATTGAACAGCTTTAATATGACCAGGGGAATGAATGGCTGAGGAGTGAAACAGACATGGTGTATTAAAGGTAAGAAGTAAGGAGACTGGTGGAGCCATGTGGAAAAATATCAGAGGGAGCCCTGTTTGTGGCAGTCTCAGGAAGAGAAATTCTGGTGAGGGAATTGTGGAAATAATTGAGGTGCCCTGAACTCCTGTTTTCTACTATCTGTGAATCATCACCTAGGTTAATCAACCCACTATTAATACATTGCATTAGTCCCAGAAGAGTCAGCCAAATGTTGACATTCCCTTTCTGTGTTTGCCAAAGAGAAAACTGATGCATATTAGACACCAGATGACAATCTAAGCTAACAGAGTCCACTCTTATGTGCAGATGTGCTCAGACTTTTTAGGACAATGCAGTCTACACATCTTCTAAGAAGACAGGAATAGAGCTGGGACCAGGAACTTGAACTTCTGGCTCTGCCATATATTAGGGCAAACTGGGCTACAGTTTCTATTTTTTGACAACTAGGAGACTGGCAAATGGTCTTTCTCAGTTCAGAGCAGGGTTCATTGGCACAGAGGACAAATTTCCATCCCCAAAAGAGAAGACGTTGTTGTTAAATGCTAAGTTGGTTCTGACTCACAGTGACCCTGAAAAGGGGTTTCCAAGGTTATAAATCTTTGTAAGAGCAGAAACCCTCATCTTTCTCCCATGGAGCATCTGGTGGGCTTGAAGTACTGACCTTGTGGTTTGTAATATGTTGAGTAGGTTCCAACTCATAATGATCCTGTATAGGATGTCTAAGAAGCAGTTGGTGGGTTTGAATTGCCAACCTTGCTGTTTGAAGTCTTCTACAGTGCCACACCAGGACGCCAAGAAACATTACATTTAAGCAATTTACAACTATATTTATCATATATTATTCTATAATTAAAATGAGGTAGGAGAAGTAACTGTAAGGTTTTGAGAAACAACAGGTTTCCTGACACTTGAGATAAGTCATGAATCTTTAATTACCAGCAGCCACAAGAATATGGGTGAGAGGGCACATTAGCATACTAAAAACCATTCCCTTGGGTGGAGATTTAACATTTAAATCAGACATACTAAAACCCCCCATCTCAGTATCCCTTACTCTGTATTCATATGAAATTGAGTGTATAACATGATTCTGAAGTAATTCTTACCTTATAAAAGAAGCTCAGAAAGCACCTGGAGGCAGATAGAATCTGAGGGAACTTACCTCTCTATCTCAGCTCAAGCGCCATCTTAATAAAGTTGTGCCTTCTGTTCTTCATCTTGCTGAGTCCTTATTGGCTTTTGTCACGTTGAGCAATGGACCTAGTATTTGGTGGGAAACAGTATGCTAGAATGTCCACGGAAGGGTAACACCATAAGTTACTGCAGTGGGTGGCACCAACACTAGTAATGCCACTGTGCTGGAGGAGACCATGAGACACAACAGACCAAGTTAGTTAGATCTTTACTGGGGACAGAAGATCCAGTGACCCTTCTAAATAGTCCTTAGGGATTGATGATCTCGATACGGAACTGCAGGTGAGTAGTTGTGACCACACAGTGACCCCGGAGGACAGCACAAGTCTGGCAAGTGTGGTATTTCCAGTGGCACTGGATGACATTGATAGCGTTGAGTACTTGGCAGTATCTCCAGTGGATGCGCCACATACGGATCAAAGACTGGAGCTTAACCACTGCCCACTCTTTCTTCACATAAGTAATCAGGACTGCCTTCTGCTTTCTCTCCAGCTGCTTCTCCAGCATCTGCCGCCACCAGCACTGAATGACCCAAGCCCTGAGGGCTGCATGCAGCAACGTCCTGCGCACCAGTGTACCTCGCCACCAGGCCTGGATCTTTATACTTGAACTTTCTTTATAGCCTTTTCTAGGTACTTTCTAGACAGAGATAAAAGAGGCAACTCAGGGTACTTCCTGCCACCAACTTACAGGGTCTTCTTAGAAGAAGGCTAGATGTTCTCAAAAATAGACCTTTCTCAGAGAGTTCAGGGAAATCAGCAGTACACTGGCTCAGAACTAGGAGACCTGGATGGTGGTCTATCTCTGTCACTATGGACACATCTTGCACTCAGAGTTTCAGACCTCTTGATTAACAATGATCAACTAGAAGGACATTATCAGAGGTCTGAGGGACTTTGTTAGTCACACTCCACATCTTTAGTGCTGACTGGATTTGGGAGTTGTGACATTATGATTTTGCTTAGTTATTCTCTAATAATTCCAGTCTCAAACCACCATTAGCTCACCTCTCTTCACAGCACTGTACTTTAACATTATGAGGGATTTTCAGCACTCAAACCCTATACAAGAGTCACTATGGGTCAGAACTGACTGGATGGCATTGAACAACAACAACCCTGTATTCTACTTTGCCCCAAACAAAACCCACTGCCATCAAGTCCATTCTAATTCATAGGGATCCTATTAGGGTTTCTGAGATTGTACATTTTTATGGGGGTACATAGCCTCATCTTTCTTCCATGGAGCAGCTGGTGAATTTGAACCACAAACCTTGCAGTTAGCAGTTCAGTACTTACCTTAAAACACCACCAAGACTCATATTCTGTGCCCAGTCTCCCAGACTATTTTGAATGGTCTACTTTTTAGGACAAAGGAGCTCTGGTAGTGCAGTGGTTACGAATTGGGCTGCAAACCGCAAGGTCAGCAGTTCGAAACTACCAGCTGTTCCGTGGGAGAAAGATGAGGCACTCTGTTCCCGTAAAGATTTACAGCCTTGGAAACCCTGTACAGGGTCACTATGAGGTAGAACCGACTCCATGGCACATAACCACCACCACCACCACCACCACCACCACCACTTTTTAGGACAAGGTGCACCTGACCTAAATCATGGTATTTCCAGTTGCCTCCTATGCATGTGAAACCTGGTCAATGAAAAAGGAAGAATGGAGAAGAATCAATGTAGCATTTGAATTATGGTATTGGCAAAGAATATTGAATATACCATAGACTACCAGAATAATGAACAAATCTGTTTTGGAGGAAGTACAACTGGACTGCTCCTTGTCAGTGACAATGGTGATGAGACTTCGTTTATCGTACTTTTGGCATATTGTCAGAAAGGACCAGTCCCTAGAGGACATCAAGTTTGGTAATGTGGAGGGTCAGTGAAAAGGAGGAAGACCCTTAATGAGATGGATTGACACAGTGGTGACAACAACAGGCTCAAGCATAATAGTTGTGTTATGCATAGGACCAGGCAGTGTTTTGTTCTGTAATACATAGGATAGGGCTGTTGTGAGTCGGAACTGACTAGATGGTACCTAACAACAACAACAACTCTTTAATTCAGAATTGCCCCGTTCTCACCTCTCAACCCCATGCATTTCCTTATGTCTTTCATTATCCAAAGTCACTCTCCATGTCACAGTCAAACCCAGACTCAAGAATGGGGATGGAGGGAAAATGAGCCAATATTGGGTTGACCCCTAATTATTTAAGACAGTGGCTCCATTAAAGGCAGAATCTCACACCCACAGTACACAGGTATTAAAGTTATGGATTTCTCTTAATTAATGGAGGTTCTATCTACCTTGTTGCGCATCTTCTTTTTAATTATCTCCTCTGTAATTGAAGAGCTATGGACTTGCTTCTGAATTGATAATTACATGGGAAACGCATAAGTGAGTTAAGAATGATATTTCTCCCTATGGCTTTGCATAAAGCCATCCACTTGCCTTAGCATCTGTTCTTTTCCCAAGACCAGTAAAGTCCAGGATGATCCTTATTCCCCACCCCTGATCCCTGACCACATCCTTCTTAGTGGACGTGGCTGTGTCTCTTACACAAAATTGAATTCACATGGGCTATTGTAGATGTTTAATTATCCCTGATTTCTATGGTTCCCAAGGCTTGGCATGTACGAGTGAAAGGAGAATAGGGAGCCATGAGTTCACAATTGCAGCTATGACATAGCATCAGCACACCTGCCATACTATAGAGTCACTCCACCTGAAAAGGTCCTTAATAGAAAATTATTTTTACCTACCATGACCCAAGCATTGTTCTAGAGGTTATGGATCATCAATCTAACTTCTCAACTTTCAAAAATAACTTATTAAGAAACAATTTCAAAGTTAGAGAGAAATACTGGAAAAAAAAATCTTTTATACTTTTCACCCAGAGATCCCATTCAAATTTCACCAACTGAAATTTGGTGCCCAGATACCATTACTGATCATAATCAAAGATTTCATAGAAGAAATCTGATCAAAAGGGGAGAAGTACAGAACAGAATTTAAAATTATCATATGTCTTAGGCTGGGGTCTCTAAAGAAGCAAAACCAATGAAACTTTATAAACATAAAGGGACTCCTGGTGTGGAACTGTAGGATCAGCACTGGACTGCAAATCACAAGGTTGGTAGTGCAAGCCTACCAGCTGCCCCTTGTTAACCGTATATAAGTGACTCGACAGTACTTAACAACAATAATAGCATATATATACAGAGAAGTTTAGATCAAGAAAATGGCTCACTTGCAGAGGTGGGAGAGTCCCAAGTCTGGGCTAGGTGAACCAAGATTGGTGGGTGGGCCCAGGAGGCAGACAAACAATAGAGCAGGCCAATGACTCAGATTTAAAGAACTAGAGGCTAGAGGACAACCCAGACACAAGATCCAGATCCAGTGGAAGAAAGAGCAAGCTTTTCTTTTGTGTCCATTATATTGGGAGCAGGCAACGCCACCAAGAAAACATCCTTTCAATTGATTGACTGCTCACAGCCAATCATTATAGTTTTAGCTATTAGATTTCACCATAGAGATAACCACGTCTTCACTGCCAAATCACTGAGAATCCTGGCCCAGTCAATTTGACACTTAATCTTAACTGTCACAGTCTACACCTTGATAAATTGACACCTGTAAACCATAAGCATAACCTCTAAATAAAGAAAATGGTAAAGTCATACTTGCATCTAACATGATATAACTAAAACGCAAATAATTGAAATGCACTGGCCCCCTTTACATCATATATTTCACAAATGAACAAGACAAAAAGATTTGATTCACACATACAAAACAAGGCAAAACAAAAAAATATATTTATAACAATTACAGCCCACATTTCTGCAACGGGTCATGTGGCCATAGCTATCTTCTTCAACTCCCCATTCCATATTCCCTTGGTCCTCTGCAAGCACTTCTGCTGGCCATGGTTTTTTTGTGATCCAAACACTCATTCCTGAAAGGTCTATGCTAGTAGTCTTCACGTTGGAATTAGGTTGCTGTGGTATAACATTGACTTTAACCACAGGACATGGTAGGACTAAATGACGCCCTAAGGAATCTCCTGGATGCCACACATAGTCTTCTTTATCTCCATTATGTAATGTCAAGCCAATTTTCCCTTGGTAATCAGGATCAATCTTATTACCCAATATAGTAACTCCCTTCTTGGCTTGTTTATCCAGAGGCATAAGGAGTGCAAAATGTCCTGGGCACATTCATTTTTTTAAAATTGTGAATTGGGTGAAGGTTTACATACAAGATCATCAGCTTTACATTCAGCAAATTATACACTTTGTTTCATCTCAATGATTACAATCTCTTTCCTGCAACAACTGTTATCTTACTTCCTCCCTGTGGCTCCCTATTTACATCTTATATTTCACAAATGAACAAGGCAAAAATATTCGATGAACATTTTAAAAAACCCCATCTATTCACTTAAATGTTCAAAGGGCATATTCTGCAAGCCAGCCTCCTGCTGCAGACAGCTTACCCAGTTCATGAGTCTAGAGCCCTGAGCTGCTCTGTCTCTCCATGCCACTGCCTCTGCCAGAGTCTCTGCTTTTTTAAAAAAATGTTTTATTGTGAATTATGTGATAGTTTGCATGGGAGAACATTAGCTTTACATTGATCCTATTGTATATCATTACATTGTTATGGTTACAATCCCCTCCATGCATACATCAACCAACCAAAGGGTATACCCTGCAAGCCTGCCCCCTGGTCGTCAGCACACAGTCCCTCTCCCTCTCTGGGTCTAGAGTCCCCAGCCACTCCATCTCTCCACGTCATCATCTCTGCCATCACTGCTTCTCTGGGTAGGGTCCCACTCTCTGCTCTTCTCCCTTGATGGTTCCAGGGACCTCCACTCCTGGACTGCAAAGTCAACCACTCCCCTCTCCTTTTGCCACAAAAGTCTACCTTTACATTTCCAACCCTCACAGTCAGTCCTGATAGTAAGTATTCACTATTGTACCACATGAGTCCTATCCCCATCTCCTTTCATCAGTCCCACCCAGACAGATTAGATACTACTCAATAGAGAGTCTACCTTCCTCCACGCCCTCTGGATCTAGGCTCCCTCATGAAAGCTTGTAAGCCAGTTACTTCTTGCCTTTGTAGCACCTCCATTTTGGGTAGCCAATGTCCAAGTTGCCCATCCCTGTCTACTCTGTGTATGGAGGGGGTGGGAATGATCCTCACTGTAAAGATTTTGTTCCCTCTTTTGAGCTACTGCATCCATAGGTGTAGGTCAAGTTCATCAAATTGTTTCAGATTTCTTTTTTTCCTCTTCTTTCTTCTTCTAGTTGAATTTGGATCTTCCAGCCATTGAAGCCAGGTCAAGCGGGTATTATCTGCAAGTGTGGGTGTTCTTGTGCATATGCCCTCTCTTCTTATCAGCTGGATGCTTTATTCTCCACTCTAGTCCTCTGTGGCTATGTCACTAACTCTGAGCCCAGGAGTCCCCAAGTCTTGCCATACTGCTGGCAAACCAGGTCTCTATCCAGGTTCACAGGAGTCTATTGAACATGGTTGGACTTAGCTCGCAGCTTCATTGCTGTTTTTCCCTCACTTCCCCTTATTGGTGACCAGCGTGGTCACCAGTCAGACCACATGTCTGCTTGTATATTCCCACTGAGTCTTAGTCTTGGAAAGGGATTTACTCTGAGGAGACCCGACCACTTGCCTTGATGTCTCCTGGGAAAGCATCTTGGTTGTTCTTATAGTAGTTAGTCGGACTGCCATTATTGTTTTGTATTTTTCCTGATGGCCTTTCTTACAAGAAGTATCTTCTGTTCTTTAGCCACTCCAGGCTGCTCTGCTTGTCCTTCAAATGGAAATTTCCCACCTCAGAAGGTTCTGGATGGGGTTTCAGGATTCCTCCTATGGTATTATGCAATGCAGAGGCCCTGCAGGAAGCCTCCTTCACTGGACAAGTTGTAGCCCCATTTTAGGTATTCCAATAAGTTATAGGCAGAAGACAGATTTACAAGCTTTCTATGGTGGTAATTCTGGCTATTCCTTTCTCTCTCTATCAAGTGTCTATTTTATAAGGGTATGCAAGGGAAACCAAGATTCAAAAGATAGCCAAGCATCTTAACATTATTTCCAGGGGACATTCTTAAGTTTCAGTTCAATAGAATCAATGCTTTGTTTCCAGGAGGGAGTACTTCTCCCTTTGGAATGAAAATGTCCAGACCAAAAGAGCAGAAAGTCACAGGGACAGGAAGCAAAAAATTTTTAAGTGGGTCACTAGGAGTAATAGCGAATGGTGCCACTCCCATTTCTACCCCTTGATTCCTGAACTCATGAATCCTAGCAATTGGAGAAAAAACACCTTATGTTGGATGCTGGTTTAGAGCATAGAGAGCCTCTTGGAGAACATCGCCCCAAGCCTGCAAGGTATTGTCACCTAGTTGGCACCATAATTATGCCTTTGGAAGGCCATTCCATCATTCAATTAAGCTAGATGCTTCAAGATGACGAAGAACATGGTAATACCAGTGAATTCTATGAGCATAGGTCCATTGCCATTTGTTGTGAAGTAGGGCCCTTGATCCAAGGCAATGCTATATGGAAACGCATGATGGTAGATAAGGCATTCTGAAAGACTACAAATGGTAGTTTTGGCAGAAGCATTGTGTTCAGGGAAGGCAAATCCATATCCAGAGTAACGCCTATTCCGGTAAGAACAAAACACAACCCTTTCCATTATGGAAAAGGTCCCATGTAATCAACCTGCAACCAGATTGCTGGTTGATCTCTCTATGAGAAATTGTCCCATATCCGGGACAACTCAGTGTTGGTTTCTGCTGCTGGCAGATTGAGCCCTCAGCAGTGGCTGTAGCCAAGTCAGCCATGGTGAGTGGAAGCCCATGCTGCTGAGCCCATGTATAACTTCCATCTCTACCGCCATGGCCACTTTGTTCATGATCCCATTGGGAGTAGGTGGAGATGGAGTATGATTAGTTACCACAAAACGTGTCATCCTGTTCAATTGGTTGTTAAAATCCTCCTCCGCCAAGGGTATCCTTTGGTGCATATTCACATGAGACACAAATATCTTCACTTTTTTTGGCACATTCAGAGATGTCTATCTACATATCTTTTCCCCACAACTGTCACCAATTTTCCAATAATGTTCCTTCCAAGTTCCTGACCATCTAGCCAAACCATTGGTCATAGCCCATGAATCAGTATACAGTCTCCCATCTGGCTATTTCTCCTTCCAAGTAAAATGAACAACCAGCTGCACTGCTCAAAGTTCTGCCCATTGGGAAGACTTCCCTTTACCACTGTTCCTCAGGGTAGTCCCAGAAAGGAATTGTAGTGCTGATGCTGTCCACTTCCAAGAGATGCTTGTATATCATGTAAATCCATCTGTAAACCAAGCATGAGTTTTCTTGTCCTCAGTCAACTGATCATAAAGAACTTCCCATGAGACATAGGTATAAACCGGGAGAGGGAAAGTAACGTGACAGGAATGGAAACCATGGGCATTTGGGCCACTTTCTTATGCAACTGAGTTGTACCTTCAGGTCCTGCTCAAGGCCGGTCTTGCATATCCTACTTTCATTTAATGATAGAGTACTGCTGTGTACATACAACTTTATGACTCTGTGGGTCAGACAACACCTGTTCATAATGGGTTGTTGTTGCTGTTGTTAAGTGCTGTCAAGTCGATTCTGACCCATAACAACCCTGTATAGGGTTTCCAAGGAGCAGCTGGTGAGCTTGAACCACCAACCTTGCAGTTCAAAGGATTTGCAGTCTGGTGCATTAACTCACAGTGCCACACCCATTCATAATGGGTAGCTCTGGTCATATGGTGACTTGGTTGTCCATGGCTAGGCATTTGATCTCTACTAAGGCCCAGTAACAAGTTAAAAGCTGTTTCTCAAAAGGAGAGTAGTTATCTGCAGAGGATGGTAGGGCTTAGCTCCAAAACCCTAAGGGTCTGTGCTGTTAGTCACCAATAGGGGCCTGCCAAAGACTCCAGACTGCATCTCTATCTGCCACTGTCACTCCAAGCACCATTGGATCTGTTGGTTCATATGGTCCAAGCAACAGAGCAGCTTGCAAAGAAGCCTCAACCTGTTGCAGAGCCTTCTCTTGTTGTGGACCCCACTCAAAATTAGCAGCTTTGGCAGAGGCTGGGCTTGATGGAGGATAGAGTAGAGGTGCAGTGAGGATCTCTGGCAGCAATAACACAGAATACTGGATGAAGCAGGTTCAGGGGACAGTTCCAGAAATCTGAACCACATATATAGGAATACTTAGAAAGTTTGAAGGCTTATAGCCAGTGGAATTTGTAGTGGAAGAAAGAAATCTCGGGCTTTCAAATTTGCAGGGTTCAGAGGCCCCGGGAGTCAGAGCTGATCTTGGGCGAGACCGAGAGGGGAAGGATCAGAGCCGCCACTAAGTGACTCCTGATGGAAACTCGGAGATAAAGGTGTGGACATTCTTTTTTTTTTTTTGTATCTGCTCATTGGTCTCTTATTGTTTGCACACCTCCATTCTGGTGCCTAGAGGGTGTGCCTTAGTGAGTGCACACCTCCCCTACCCCGGAGGGTTCTACTACACATATGCACAGATCTCCTCAAAATTTTAAAGGTACAGTTTCCACTTAAAACAAACCGCCAGTGTAAAACAGCCATATCCAGCCCTGAACTGTTTAACACTAGGAAAAAGGCTAGAATGGGGGTTGTGGAGCAGGAGAGACATGGACTGAAAACAAAATGAGCTGAAAATTAAATCCTGAGTTACATCATAACCTCCAACAGTGACATCTTGAAATCTTTTTAGGCAGCCTTGAAGGCAAGAAGCTGAAAGAAGATATTAAAGTTATACACATATTATCCTACAGATTTTTTTCTTCTTCCCTCTTTTCTGTGATTATAGACTACAGTATTCAGTCTGTCTTTTTTGCAGTTGCTGTTTTGGTTTTTTTGGTCCTCTCTTTATCTTTAGGGGGCTCTTCTTCTCCCTATATTACCTAAGAAGAGACAGCAATTGCTGTCATATAGTCATGCTACAATCATACGCTATAAAATTCTACAACCCAGGCAAGAACCAATAGCAGCTGCATGCAACAGGCAGACAGCCAACACCTGCGACACTTACTCTGAGTCAAGTAATACGAAGAGTGAAAAGGGAAGCCCATCTCTTGATCACATCTACCTGGAGACATTCAGAAAGCATTAAAAATACCAAAATACACACTCATTTAAATATTAAGGCCACAGCTAACTACTGAATATGTCCAAAAAACAGAAACAGATGACTGTATCAGCACATGTCAAGAATGAAGATAAAGTGACTGAGACACTTCCCTTCAGGGATACCTACATGCCATACTGGAAAGAGGAGAGACTTTGGAAATGCCTGAGAAGGAATTCAGAAAAATGATTATAAAATGTATCAAAACAACAACAACAAAAAAAACCCAACAACAAACAAACAAACAAAAAAATGTATCAAAACACTTTACAATGGAGTTGAGAAAAATAAGGATGAAGTTAGGAAAGCACTACAGGAACAATCAAATAAGATAGCTATAGAACTGGAAACAATTCAAAACCAAAAAGAGGTCCAAATGATTATTAATAGAATATCAGAAATGGATAAGACACTGAAAGGGCAAACAAGTAGAACTGAAGAGATGGTAGCCAGAACTAGTGAGCTGGAAGACAAATCTCTCAATACTACTAAGATAGAAAAGTAAACTGAAAAGAGGATTGAAAAATCTGAAGAAGGTCTAAGATTCATGTTGAACAACATGAAGAATAACTTAAGAACTATTGGCATTCTGGAACAGGAAGAATCACACAAGTCCACAGAGCAGATAGTTGAAGAGCTTCTGGAAGAATATTTCCCTAATATCCTGAAAAGTGAAAAGATAAGCATCAAAGAAGCTCAACAAACCCCGGGAAGAATAGACCCAAAAAGAAAATCACCAAGGCATATGATAATCCAGCACTCCAAAATCAAAGAGAAGGTGACAATTCTGAAAGCAGCTAGGGAAAAGAGAAGTGTTATAAACAAAGGCAAGTACGTCAGATTAAGCTCGGATCTCTCAACAGAAACCATGCAGGCAAGAAATCCTTCATGCAGTAAAGCTGTCAATCAAACATGATGGTGTAATTAAAAACATTCCAGGATAAACAGTAGTTAAGGATTTTGCCAAAACCAAACCTGCACTGCAAAACATCCTAAAGGGAGTTCTGTGGACTAAGACCCATAAGAACAGATAACAGCCAGAGGTTGACATACCTGGCAGCACCACCTGGAACTCAATCAACAAATGGAAGAGTCAGGAACAGAATAAAATTATAAGAACAAATTCAGGGGATCTGGGAGGTCAGTCTATGATCAAAACAATTAGAATGTGAAAGAAGGTAAACACTTGGGAACAGAGATCCAGGTGGTGAGAAGTTCAGGTAGATTACAGGATAAAATAGACTGTATTAAATGGAAGGGAAAGTTAATGGGATATAAGGTAACCTCAAAGAAAATTAATACATCACAGCATGCAAAGAAAATGAAAATCCAAGAAGAACATAGGAACATTAAAATCATGAGGAAACTGACAAGAAAGAACACAAAAAACATGAACTCAGCACAGGAAAACATGCAGAACAAAGATACCAGTAACACCACACACACAACAAAACCCATAATTACAGCAATTAATCCATACCCATTGATAATTACACTGAATGTAAATGGACTAAATACACCAGTTAAGAGACAAAGTGTGGAAGAATGGATAAGAAAACAAGATCCCTCAAAATGCTGCCTGCAAGAGACACACCTTACACACAAATGCAAAAACAGACTAAAAGTCAAAGGATGGAAATAAATATGCCAAGTTAATTGCAATAAAAAAATGAGCAGAAGTGGCAATAACTAAACTCTGATAAAATAAACTTTAAGGCAAAACCCAACATAATATATAATGAAGGGCACTATCTCATGATTAAAGGGTTAATTGAACAAGATGACATAACTATAATAAATATCTACTCTCCCAATGAAAGAGCCCCAAGATATATAAAGCAAACCCTACTAGAATTGAAGAAAGAAATAGATTAATCTAGCATAATAGTGGGAGATTTTAATATGCCACTTTCAAAAAAGGATAAAACAACAAGAAAGAAACGCAACAAAAACTCAGAGAAACTAAACAACATAATCAGCCAACTTGACCTCATAGATGTGTGCAGAGCATTCAACCCAACAAGAGCACAATACATATTCTTTTCCAGTGCACATGGAACATTCTCCAGAATAGACGATGTGTTAGGCCACAAAACAAGCCTTTGTAAATTTACAAACATCAGAAAACTACAAAGCAACTTCTCAGACCACAATGCTATCAAATCAACAATAGGAAATTCAAGGAAATAAAGTCAAATACATGGAAACTGAATAACACTGTGCTGAAAAGCGACTAGGAAGTAGAAGAAATAAAACGTGAATTCACAAAGTTCCTAGAAACAAATGAAAATGAAAATACAACATACCATAGTTTTTGGGTCACAGCAAAAGCACTGCTGAGAGAAGAGTTTATTGCAATAAATGCACACATCCAAAAAGAAGAAACAACCAAAATCAACACATTAACACAACATCTCCACCAACTAGAAACAGACCAGCAAAGTAAACCTGCAGTCAACAGAAGAAAGGAGAAATAATAAAGATTAGAGCAGAAATAAATGAGACAGAAAACAGAAAAACAATAGAAAGAACAACAGCACAAGAAGCTGATTCTTTGAATGAATTAATAAAATCGACAAACCAATGGCAAACCTAACAAAAGAAAAGATGGAGAAGACAAATAACATGCATAAGAAATAACCTAGGTGATGTTACAACAGAACCAATAGAAATAAAATGGATAATAACAGAATATTATGAAGAGCTGTACACCAATAAATTTGAAAACCTAGAGGAGATGGATACATTTTTAGAAAAGCACGATCTACCTAAACTGACATAGAGTGAAGTAGAAAACTTGAAAAGACCTATAACAAAGGAAGA